TATTTTTCTTTTTAAGACTAAAAAATGGGCCAGGCGTGTTGGCTCATGCCTGTAATCCCAGTACTTTGGGAGGCCGAGGAGGATGGATCATGAGGTCAGGAGTTTGAGACCATCTTGGCCAACGTGGTGAAATCTGTCTCTACTAAAAATACAAAAAATTAGCTGGGCGTGGTGGCGCAGTCCCAGCCGCTGGGGAGGTTCAGGCAGGAGCATCGTTTGAACCCAGGAGGCAGAGGTTGCAGTGAGCCAACATTGTGCCACTGCACTCCAGTCTGGGCAACAGAGCAAGACTCCATCTCAAAAAAAAAATTATTTTAATGGTTTTTTTTTCTCATGAGTACCTCATGGTTTATGTTTCATCTTTTCATTTTTATTTGTTTATTTAGAGATGGAGTCTTGCTCAATCCCCTAAGTAGCTGGGATCGATTACAGGTGCCCAAGACCATGCCCGGCTAATTTTTGTGAAGATGGGGTTTTGGCATGTTGGCCAGGCTGGTCTTACTCCTGACCTCCGGTGATCCGCCTGCCTCGGCCTCCCAAAGTGCTGGGATTACAGGCGTGAGCCACTGTACTTGGCCTATTTTTATTTTTCGAGACAGAGTGAGCGCAGGCTGGAGTACAGTGACATAATCTCGGCTCACTGCCATCTCCATCTCCCGGGTTCAAGCGATTCTCCTGCCTCCACCTCCCGAATAGCTGGGATTACAGGTGTCCACCAACACGCCCGTCTAATTTTTGTATTTTTAGTAGAGACGGGGTTTTACCATGTTTGTCAGGCTGATCTCAAACTCCTGACCTCAAGTGATCCTCCTGGCTTGGCTTCCCAAAGTGCTGGGATTATAGGTATGAGCCACTGCACCCAGCCTGTTTTCATTTTTTTAAAATACCTTTTTTTTTTTTTTTTTTTTTTTTTTGGAGACAGGGTCTCTATGTTGCCTTGGCTGGAGTGTAGTGGTGTGATCTCTGCTTACTGCAACCTCTGCCTTCTGGGCTCAAGTGATTCTTGTGTCTCAGCCTTCCAAATAGCTGGGATTACAAGTGTCTGCCACCACGCCCAGCTAGTTTTTGTATTTTTAGTAGAGATGGGGTTTTGCCGTGTTGGCCAGGCTGGTGTCGAACTCCTGGTCTCATGCGATCCACCCACCTTGGCTTCCCAAAGTGCTGGGATTACAGGTGTGAGCCACCGTGCCCAGCCTAAAATTATCGGCTTTGTACGGTGGCTCACACCTGTAATCCCAGCACTTTGGAGGCCAAGCCAGGAGGATCACTTGAGCCTAGGGGTTGGAGACCAGCCTGGGCAGCATAAGGAGACCCCATCTCTACAAAGAAAATTTAAAATTAGCAGGGTGTGGTGGTATGTGCCTGTAGCCCCAGTTACTTGGGAGGAGTCTAGGAGATCAAGGCTGCAGTGAGCTGAGGCTGCACTGCAGTACTGCAGCCTGGGCAGCAGAGTGAGACCCTGTCTCCAAACAGAAACATCCCTGCTTTGGGCCTTCCTTGATGGCCTCTCCCCAGCCACATGGCAGCTTGCTGGTGTGCAGGCCCCGGCCGTGGGCATGGCTGCAGATGTTGTACGCGGCCTGGGTAAGGTGCTGTCTCCACTGGGTGGGATTTGAGGACCGGGGCCTCTACTAGGTGCGGGGGTGTATGTGCTAAGGCTGCGCCCCATGCTTCGATGTGAGATTTGGGCATGGACTTTGGCATGTCTGGGGCTGTCCCGCCTGCATCCAGCTTGAGCAGCTGTCCACGCCAGTTGCAGGGGTGTCCCCACAGAGCCCCAGCCCTCGCCCTGGCACAGTGTCTCCTGCTGTGTGGAACCCGGGCCTTTGATGGCGTCCACGCGTCCACGTGCTCTGCCGCCTGCCTCCGAGGGTGGCCAAGGCGCTGAGTAGCTCGGGAGGCTTGGCCGTGTCTGGTGCAGTGATTCACTGAAGCTCAGAGGCTCCAGGGAAATGCTCCACACTCCCTTTCACCGGAGCCCTGGCGGGGCAGGCCAGGCCGAGACAGGAGGGAGGGAGGGAGGCCGGGAGGGAAAAACACAAACCCTCAGAGACGCTGGAAACTCTGAGGTCGGGGCCACCTCCAAATGGGCTCACATTTTCCCTCTGTGTGTCATCACATCCTGGAAAATTACTGTCAAGAAAAGGAGCCCTCTGGGCAGTGTTGTGGCCCGAATGCCCCGGGCGCCCTCACCCCGCAGGCCCCAGCCCCCAGCCCCCTTCCCCTCCCTTTGGCTGTGTGCCTACAGAGTTACCCTGGCCTCCCGACAGCAGCCCTGTCCTCCATCCTGCTGTGGGCTTTCTGGGCTTCCTCTAGCCCCCTGCCGGGTCAGGGCCTCTGGACAAATGGTCCACATCCTTGCATCCATGCGGTCCTCCTGGAGGCCATGACCTGGGGGTCTGCCAGGCCTGGGTTTGCAGGAGATGACAGGAAGAGGCTTCACCTGTAGGAGACAGGTCTTTTGCAGCTGCCCGGCCACCCTCAGAGCCTGAAATGCCAGCACCCCTTCCCCTCGCCGTGCTGGCCGGACCCTCAATGCTCCGTGCCTCAGTTTCCTTAGCAGCCATAGTCACTGCCACCCTGTGGCATATTTTTAGCCTCCAGGGAGCTCAGCACACACAGCCCTGTGAGAGCCCCCACACTGGCACTGCCCCCCACGCCAACCCCCATCCTCTGGCACCTCTGGCTCTGCCTAGCAAGAGGGTCAGGGTCAGGAAGACGGAGGAGTGGGGCCTTCAGCAGCTGGGCCCAGATGGCGAGGCAGAAACCAGGCTCCCCCTTCCCGGCCCCTCTTCTGTGTGGGATGGAAGGACTCTCTCGGGGAAGGCTTGCAGCTGTGTTGATGGGTGTTTGCAGACACTGCAGGAGGGCTGGACAGGACGGGGAGGGTGTTCCCAGGGTTGCCACGCCATCCCCAGGTGTCCAGAGTGCGGGGTACGTTCCCCTTCCAAGTCGGGGAGCCCAGAGCCCGCCCCAGGCTGCCCCCCACTCGAGACGGCTCTTGGCTATTCCGTGAGGGAGGATGGGGCAAGTGTGGACCTCCACACACAGGGTCTCCTGGCATCTCCCTCTGCCATTTGGCTGCCAAGTGACATTTCCCAGCAGCTCTGCTACAGACGCCTTCTGTTTTCAGGGGAGACGCCGGTGGCATGGCCTCTCTGGCAGCCCCTTATCCTGCCGGACCCCCGGCTCCAGCAAGATGGCCCTGGATCAGGGCTTCTCTGCCCGGGCAAAGAGTGGGCATGCGAGGTTTCTGCCATCCTGGCCCTGTGCGGGACCCTGGGCTCTGACAGAAGAGGCTTCCTGAGCAGGGCCGGGCCCTTGGCATGATGGGTAGGAATCTAGGGTGGATCCACAGGAATTAGAGATTTTGTCAGTTTTGTTTTCCAGATGAAATTCTATAGCCCCAATGGTGGCATGAAGCTGATGGCCCTGTCCCCTCTGGCCCACATCCTGGAGGCACCAGTGTGGGCTGTGGGCCGGAGGGTCCTTAGCACTGTACAGTGTGCGGACGTGCCAGCAGCCCGCCAGTGACCCCCAGGCTGTGCCCTGGACATGGCTGGCTGAGCATGTCGTGTCCTGGAGGCGGGGCCCCATCTGGTCAGGCTCAGGCGCAGTGCGATGCCATCAAGGGTGCTCTGCCCGCTCGGGGAGATGCAGTGTGGATTCCGGGGTAGGGGGGCTCCTCCAGGGAGGCTCTGGACCAGGCCGCAGAGGGTGCCAACCTGCCACAGGCTGGCCTGGCCACTCATGGACATGGCGGCTCTTGGCCCAGGGTGCACCACATCCCGCCCTCCTATCCCGTGGGAGCCCGGCATGCTCCCGGCCTCTGGAATGCAGGCGCTGGGGCTGTGGGGGGCAGCCTGGCGCCTGGCATCTTGTTATAAAAAGCCCTGGCGCAGGCTGCTCTCAGCGGCTGCAGGATGGTTGTGGCTTTGGAAGGGCAGCCTCCAGGGGCCTTGGTCAGCCACCTGTGGGCCCCACTGCCGAGCTGTGGTCAGCCTGTGCTGTCTGCCCTGCCATGACGCTGCCGGGGCCAGTGGGGCTCCCACCAGACCCTGTGACATGTCGCGACAGAGCCCCGTGCTGGGTGGCTGCAGGGCTGTCGCCATGGGCAGACAAGGCCTTAGGTGTATCCAGGGGCAGTCATGCCCTGGCTGTCTCCCAGTGTGGGCATGTTGGGGGCGCCAGAATGCCGTGCAGGGTAGGAGGCAGTGGCCCGTGGCCACATGGGAGACTGCAGGAGGGCTGGACGGGACGGGGAGGGTGTTCCCAGGGCTGCCGTGCCATCCCCAGGTATCCAGAGTGTGGGGAGGTAGGTTCCCCTTCCAAGTCAGGTGGGAGCCCAGAGCCTGCCCTAGGCCACCCCCACTGGAGACGGCTCTCGCTGTTCTGTGAGGGAGGACAGGGCCCCCTGCGGACGTGTCCCACCTACACCAGCACTGGACTGAATGCGCTGAAATCGCTGCCCAGGCCTCTCTAGCTGCGTGGCCCAGCTTTGTCCATTTCATGGCTGTTGATTAGGGGTGATGCCGTCCCTCCCGCATCCCAGCGTGGGCAGAGGGAGGGCCCAGCTTCTTCCCTGAGGGCAGGCGTGGATGGTGTCAGCCTGGCCATGGAGCTGTGGCCAAGAGGGCAGCGGGGCAGCTGGCCTGGGGTTTTTGCCGACGCTCTAATTTGGCGGCTGTCGCCACCCCTCCCCCACATGGAGACCCTGACGTGGCCTGAGCGAGACTCCAGGGGCCATGTGCCCTTCAGGGCTCAGGGCTCAGCATCAGGGCTGCCGCACTGGCTTGGGGGGGCCTCCAGCCCTGAACAGGCCCTGAGTGGGGTGGGGGCCCCAGCTGCTGTGCCTGGCCCTGGCCCTGTGCTGGCCGGGGCCAGGGAGGGAGTGGGCCTAGCTCCCAGGTCTGTGCGACCGCCTCGGCCGGGGGCACCAACAGCCCAGGGCGTGGAGGCCCTGCCGGTGACCCGCTGTCAGCCTCTCCCTCTGTCTCCAGCCCGTGGACCGGGTGCCGGTGGTGTGCCACCCCGACCTGGAGGAGCGGCTGCAGGTCTGGCCGGTGGAGCTGCCCGATGAGTTCTTCGAGCTGACGGTGGACGATGTGAGAAGACGCTTGGCCCAGCTCAAGAGTGAGCGGTGGGTCCCCCTCGGCGCCTCCTGGCTTCTTCGCCCCAGGGTTTGCCCTGTTGGGGGCCCATGCTGCCCACTGTCCTCAGGCACCAGGTCCCTGAAAGGCTGCCCTTAACGGCACCTCAGAGGGTTGGGGCGCAGCGGGGGCGTCCACTCTTGCTGTCTCGTGTGTGGAGAGCAGCCTTCTCCTGCCCTGGCAGGTGCAGGTGTCAAGCCCAGGCCTGCTGCCGGTGCCCCATGCTGACTGGGAGCCCTGTTCCTTCCCCGTCCTTCCCACAGGAAGCGCTTGGAAGAAGCACCCTTGATGACCAAGGCCTTCAGGGAGGCGCAGATGAAGGAGAAGCTGGAGCGCTACCCAAAGGTCTGCAGACAGGGCTTGGGGGTACAACTGAGGCACAGTTCTGTGGGGTCTCCTGCGGCTCCCACATGGGACCAGGGCCTTCAGTGGTGGCACATGTGCTCCTGGTAGCCAGTCGATCCTCCCTTGCTTACGATTTAGAATAAAACTTTTTTATTTGTTTATTTTGAGATTCAGTCTCACTCTGTTACCCAGGCTGGAGCGCAGTGGTGAGATCTTGGCTCCTGCAACCTCTGCCTCCCAGGTTTAAGTAATTCTGCTGTCTCAGCCTCTCAAGTAGCTGGGACTACAGGTGCCCACACCTGGCTAATTTTTGTATTTTTAGTAGAGATGGGGTTTCACTGTGTTGGTCAGGCTGGTCTCGAACTCCTGAGCTCGGGTGATCTCCCCATCTCGGCCTCCCAAAGTGCTGGGATTACAGGCATGAGCCACTGCGCCTGGCCAAATGAAACTTTAAACAGCAAATCTGAACACAGGTCAATGTGGTTTTAGGATTCGGGCTGATGTACGCACACGTGGCATTCCGCTGTCTCTGTGCCCGGCCTGCCAAGGGGGAGTCGAGGCTCAGGCCCAGATTTGGGGGGACTGCTGCCGCTACCGCCTGCCCCAGCCCTGGTGTCCATGGCCCGGTGTGGGCCAAGTGGGGAGGCCACGCCCTGGTCCCTGGCTTGGCTCCGGCCGTCCCTGTGACCCCTCCACTTGTCTGGCCTAGGTGGCTCTGAGAGTCCTGTTCCCTGACCGCTACATCCTGCAGGGCTTCTTCCGCCCCAGCGAGACAGGTGGGCAGCACTTTGGGGTGTCCGGGAATGGGGTCAGGGGCCACTGGGGCCCCTGCTGGCTCCTTCCTTCCAGGCCACACGCAGGACTGCTGCCGCCTGGCCTGCAGGCTCTAGGGCACCGGGGTCGGGGGTGCAGGTTGCTGGGGTCCCCTTGGGGCTGCGGAGTGTCAGGCAGGCCCAGGTGCCCAGCCCCACCTCAGGGAGCCCGTGGTCCTGAGTACTCATGTCGATCACCTACTAGACATGGGTGGGGCTGAGGGGCATCCAGAGGAAGGTACCATACCCCGGGAGGAGGGCAGAGGCGCTGTGACATTCAGAGATTCCTCACTGACTTGTACCCCAGACAGCTGGGTGGCAGCAGCCCAGGGTCATTGGCCTCCCCCAGGGAAGCACTCAGGCTGGGGTGGTGGCTGGGGTGGGGCGGGCGGCACAGGCTGGCAGTGGGAGTGCCCTCCTGCAGCAGGGCAGGGTCCCAGGTGTGTCCCGCACAGGGGTGCGGCCCCGCCAAGCACCTGGGGTGCCGTATGGGGCTGAATTCCCACCCTAGGGGAAAGGCCCAGGAGGGTGAAAGCAGTGGCCCAGGTGCCGGGGCAGCCTGGGGCTGGCGTCGTGGGAGAGCTCTGTGTTTCTTTCTCCGCTGCAGTGGGGGACTTGCGAGACTTCGTGAAGAGCCACCTGGGGCACCCCGAGCTGCCGTTTTACCTGTGTAAGTTTATTCTCCTGAGCCCACTCCTGGCGTCTGTGGCCTTGTGCCCAGCTGCCTCCTGCCACCCATGGTGTCTGTGTGGGGACCTGGGAGGGGTGCAGCAGGGCCCCTCTCCCTGAGCCGGGCATTGGGAGCCAAGCTTCCCACGTCCTGTCCCGGTGCCCACTGCCCTCTGGAGCCCTGTTATACCCCAGCCTGGTGTCCACCCCTGGGGCTCAGGCTACTCCTGCCCGAGAGCTGTGGGAACGATGGGTGGACGGGGAGTGGCTGGCCTCCCTTGGAGGGTCTCTGGGTGTAAAGAGTTAGGCTGTCCGCCCCGAGGGGAGCTGGGCTGCAGAGCTGTGTGGGTGGTGTCCCCGGCAGGTGGGCCTGCACTGCCCAGCCCCTCCGAGCCCCCCGCTGGGGTTTCTGCAGCAGGAGTAGTGGGGGCAAAGGGCATGAGCCTGAGGAGGAGGCACCACCCCATCTTCAGGCCTGTGGGCCGGGACTCCATCCTAATACACAGGCACCTTCTGTCCTCAGTCATCACTCCTCCAAAAACAGTCCTGGACGACTACTCGTGCACCCTCTTTCAGGTACCTGAAGGCCGTCCTGGGGTGCTGTGGGGTGGGGCCTCCGGGGAGGGCAGGATGGGAGGGGGAGGCCTGCGGGTGCTGTGGGGCAGGGCCTCCCCGGGAGGGCAGGACAGGAGGATGAGGCCCTGTGGTCAGGAAGGAGGGCCCTGGCAGGCGCTGCCCAGGGATAATAAGCCTTTGAGAGCCGGAGCCGGTGCTCACCGCTGAGGTTGTTTGTGACCAGCTTCTCAGCTCCTCCACTTGCCGCCTGGCCCCGGCCTGCCCAAACTGAGGCTGCTTGGAGGTCGTGCTGGGGCCAAGGCAGGCCCAGCTCCTGCCTGGAGGCCTGGGTGAGGAAGGGCCTGGCAGGCCTGGGAGCAGGGCTGGGGAGCCCTAGGAGGGATCCAGCCCTCAGCAGGAGGTGGTCGCCTGGGGCTTCAGCAGCCAGGCCCGTTTTCCTGCTCCTTCCCCTGCCTGGCCTCTCCGCTGGCCCCACTGGCCCCTGCTAGGAATGCCCTGGTGCCCATTGCTCACCGCTGCTTCTGCAGGTCCCTGCCACCTCCCTGAGAACTCCTGAGGGTGAGGCCAGGGTGCGGGGCCAGGTGCCCAGCCGTGCTGGGCCACCCTCCAGAGCCAGGAGCAATGAAGTCCTGTCCTTGGCCTGGTTGGGGGAGCCGCCTGGGGCCTCCCGAAGCCCTCTGGCTTAAAGGTTTCCTCTTCAGTCTTTTCAGATATTTTAATTAGCAGCAGAGGAGGGTTCTTTTTAAGTGGCCGCAGGCCTCGGCAGAGGCCTGGGGTGGAGGTGAGAGACTTGCTCACTGCCTGCGGTTGCAGCCACTGGGCTGAGATGGGGCAAGAAGGCTGGCAGCTGCCAGGGGTGATCAGAAGCAGGCCTGAGCGGGATTCCCTGCAGCAGAGGCAGGCGCAGGGAGGGGTGACAGTCCTCTCTCAGCCCGAGCTGCTGGCTGGACTTTGGGCCTCTTTCCTCTGCCCCCACCCCTCCCTTGCTGGCCAGCGAGTTGATAAACATTGAATTTAGAAGATTCCTTGGGATTGAGGGGAACCAGTGCCCAGGCCTGCAGCCCACCCTCCCATTGGGAGGCCCCGAGGGGCCCTGGGGTCCTGCTGCCCTGTTTCCGGAGACACCCTCACCCCCCCCACCAGCCGCCGCCTCCTGCCATCCGTCAGCTCAGCTCCGGCCTCGGGGCCTCTCGGGGTGGTGTCCCTGGTGACGTCCCTGCCTGCCCGCCATCAGAGAGCTGGCAGGGCTGAGGGAAGGAAGCTGCCTCCCTGGCGGGCAAGCAGGCGGCGGGCGTGGAAGCGCCAGCTTTCATGTCTCTGGCAGGGCCCTGCTCCGGCTGCCAGCTCCCTGGGGAGTGTCCAGGAGCCGGCCCCTGCTTCCAAGAGAGATGGCGTGCCTGGGTGTGGGGCTGACAGCTCGGCAGCCCTCGGTGGCCCTGGCCCAGGAGAGCTGAGAGGAGGCAGCCAGGAGTGAGGACGAGGAGTTGTGAGCAGTGTGGGGTGCTGCTTTGTGGGACAAAGTCCCCCAACCCCTGCCTGAAACTTGCTTCCTGTCCCTGTGCGTCAGGGTGCCCTCAGCCCTGGGGTCCATGCTCTGCCCTTCACCCTGGAGCTCCTTAACAAGCCCTGAAGGCACTGGTGCGCCCCAGGGACCCCTTCAGCACAGGCTTTGTCTGCTGGCCCTGTGGGGACGGAATTGGGAGGCCTGGCCAGGAGAAGGCCAAGGCGCCTGGCTCCAGCCCCGGTACACACAGCCTGCTTCTTCCACAGCGGGGGTCGGGGGGAGGGGTGCAGGCCTGTGGGCGCCCAGCCCCTGATGTCCCGGCGAGGTCTTCCCTTTGCCCATGGTGTGATTTGAGTGTCAGCGCCACCCGTGTCTGTCTTGCCACACTGCTGCCTGCCGCCCTTCTGAGGGCTCAGTTGTCCCCAAGGCCAGGGCAGGGCATCTAGAAGTACCTGGCCAGGTGTCTTCCCATCCCTTTGCTGTGCTTGTCTAGGCTGGGCCAGAACTGAGCAGAGGGTAGAGATTCCTTCCCCGTGGCCATGGTGGTCTGTCCCTCATTCCGTTGGGATCCCAGAGACACAGCCAGCAGGCAGGGGACTTCTGGTGGGCAGCCAGAGGGGCAGGGAGGCCTGGTTCCAGAGGATCTCCCCCAGGGGTCCTTCCCCAAGGCCTCAGCCCTGCAGCCCCAGCCTGGGCCCTGGCACGTGCTCTGTCCCCTTGTCCAGAGCAAAACAAGAGACGAGGGGTGGGGGCCCACAGACAGGCACCTGCCCTGGGGACTGAGCCCTGGCCACAGCCCTCCCTGTGCACGTCCACCTGGCCTGGATCAGGTGAGACTCGGCTCCAGTGCCAGTGCCGGCCATGATGGGCTGAGTGTACTGGGCGGCGAGTTCCCTGGTCAGGGCCTCCTTCCAGGCGTGGCCATCCCCCTCCCGAGGGGGTCTGGCTGTGGCCACCCTGTGTCTGGAGCGGGGGAGGCAGCTCTGGGTTGCAGGAAGCCCCGGGGCCAGCCCTCCTTTCTGGTCCTGAGGGTGGAGAGGCTGGACCTTTCTCTTGGAGGTGGGAGTGGGGAGGGGAGCCACAGAGGGCCTGTGGGTGTGAGAGGAGATTCTCGGGCTTCCTTCCCTGTCCCATCTGTGGTCCCCATTCCACTGCCCTCACCCCACTGGGACCCTCCTGGGGGCTGGATGTACTGGGGAACCCTGAGTCCACTGGGGTAGCTGTGACAAAGGCCCACCATCCCGGAGGCCTGGGGTCCAAGCTCACGGGATGGCTGGGCTGGCCCCTCTCAGGTTTCTGTCATGGCTGGCAGGAGTTATGTCTGTGTGCGTTCTGCGTCCTCATCTCATGAGAATTCACACAGGAACAAACCCGCCTTTGATGTCATCTCACCTTACTTATCTTGAAAGACCTGCTGGGCTTCCTTCCGTTGGCTTTGGGGGCAGACCTGGCTCCTAACACCCTCCATTTGTTGGAGCTCTCAGGCTGTCTCAGGGGACCAGGACACGGAGATCCCTTGCTGCCTGGTTCCCCACTCCCCAAGCCACCTGCCTGGCAGGGCGTGCCTGGCACTTCCAGCCTGAGTGCCTGCTGGGCACCTACCCCTGGCCAGTCCTGTCCTCCTCCCTCTTCTCCCAGAGCAGCTCCCCTCCTGCACTGCTGTGCTGCCCACCGCTGGGGCCTCTCTGCGGCCGACAGGCTGCCTTCTTTCCCCTGACCAGGCCCTACCCCACCTGGGCCTCTGAAATGCTCCTCATCACCTCATGGTCTTGCAGAAGCAGGATGGCTGTGGTCCCCTGCCTTCTCTCTTGGCTGCCTTTCCCCGGAGGGTGGTGCTGTTCTTGCCCATGGAGACGGCTGGAGCGCGCGGCCACCTGTGTGTGCTGCTCCTGCGGAGTTGCTGCCCACGGGGGTTGGCCTGGACCTCCTTTCGGAAGCTCTTCCTGGCAACACCGAGTGTGGCAAGGGGCTGGCTCCAGGGTGGCTGGGCTGGCCCCTCCCAGGCTCCTGTTGTGGCAGGGTCACTTGTGTGTGTGGTCTGTGTCTTCATTTCTTGAGGAATCACACTGGACTAGACCCGCCTTTGATGTCATCTCACATCACTTATCTTTTTAAAGATAAGTGAGATATCTTCAAAGATAAGTGCACTGTCCCAGGCCCTCCGGTGTGTCAGGGCAGGGTGGCGCTCCTCTTCTCCCTGTCAGCCCAGGGAGCCAGGACAGTGTTGGTGGGGACAAGCCCCTCAGCCTGCGCCTCCCTCAAAGGCCCTTTCTGGGCCCTGCTCTGGGTGGCGGCGGGGGAGTGTCCACTGTGACTCACATTCCGTGTCTAGACCCAGCTTCGTGACGGGTGGCTCCATCCACCCTGGTCCCTTGCTGAAGTGGCCCCTGGAAACTAGGGCAGAGAGCACGGATTCCAACAGTGGGAGATGGAGGTGACAGGAGACTTTGGGAGGCTCCTTTTCTGGGGTCCATCCAGAGGCCGAGCCTCTCTGAGCACTGCAGCCTCCATGCCACCCGTCTGCCGAGCCTCCTCGCCACTGACTGCCAGGCCTACTTCCCTCTCCTCGCGTTCCTGAGCCCCAGCTGCCCCTTTCTGTGCATCCCGCAGGGCAGTGCTGGGAGGGTCATGGCCTGTGGGGGCAGTGATGAAAACCAGGTGCCTCTGCATCGGTGGCTTCTGAGGGATTCCTCTTGCCCGGCGGCAGGTGGGACACAGATGGGGCTGGCCAGGCCTCCGGTGCCCACAGCGGCCTCCAGGCAGTGTCCCCTGGGCTTCTGTGAGCGGCTGCAGCCTGGGTGTGAATCCCGGAGGCCCCATGGCGCTCTCCGTCTGTGAGGCTGAGACCACGGCGGCTCCTGGCGCTGTCCTCCTGGTGCCCCCTTCCTGGCTCCCCAGCTTCCGGCGCCTCTCCAGGGCCACTGGGGCAGCCCCTGCCCACCCCACAGGCCCGGCTCTCCTCACAAGGCTTTGATCCCAGGCGGCACGATTGGGTTTTCAAAGCATTCACGGCCCCCGGCTGGAGGCTGAGGTTTCAGCGTTCTTGGGCCTGGCCTTTGAAGCTTCCTCTTAATCTTTTAACATCCCTCAGCCCCACCCCAGCCTGTGGCCCTGAGCAGCCTGGAGCCAGGAGGGGGATGCCTTGGGCCTGGCAGCTGCAGCCGTCCACAGTGGTCCCTGCCCCGCCCCACCTTCCTCGGGTGCGGAGTCCGTAGCAGGGGGGGCTGTCGGGGCCCCAGCCTGTAGCTGGCTTGGGGCTTGGGGTGGTCCCAGGGAGGGTGCTGGTGGTCCCAGGATGCCCTGGTCTTGCTTAACAGTGGTAGGGTTGGTGCCAGAGTTGGGACAGGAAGCTGGGCAATGAGGGGCTCATGGGGGCCGGGCAGGTGGAGCCTGCCTGAGGGTGGAGCTGTGGCCATCAGCAGGGCCTGGGCCTGGGGGTGTGGCTGCCTCCACAGCAGGAGGGGTGCTGTGCCCACGGTGCCTGCCCAGCTCCTGAGCCTCCCGCCCTCCCTGCAGGCGAACCTCTTCCCGGCTGCTCTGGTGCACTTTGGAGCCAAGGAACCAGCAGGTGAGTGTCAGTGGTTGGGGCTTCGGAGCCTGACCAGCCCTTCTGGGACCTCAAAGCCAGCTGCCCCAGAGCGCATTCAGTCTGGGGCCTCGTTTGGGTCTGGGAGGGAGGTCTGCGGCTCCCAATACCCACCTCCCCGAGGGAGGGCTGGGGCAGCCACCTGCTGGCCACCCTGCTCCCAGAGCCAAGGGCAGGTGGCTGGATGCTGGGCAGGTAAGGGTTGGCCTCTCTGAGGCTGAGGGTGGGCTTGGGCCTCTCTGCAGGCGTCTACCTGGAGCCTGGCCTACTGGAGCACACCATCTCCCCATCTGCAGCCGACGTGCTGGTGGCCAGGTAAGCGCTGGTGGGTTTGGGAGCTCCTCCCTCTGCGGCACCCACCACCTTGTGTCTTTGCCTCCCCCCAGGTACATGTCCAGAGCCGCCGGGTCCCCTTCCCCAGTGCCAGCCCCTAACCCTGCACCTGAGTCTGAGCCACCTGCTGAGGAGGGGGCGCTGGGCCCTGCTGAGCCTATCTCAGGGATGGTCCCGCCTGTGAAGAGGAGCCTGGGCAAGGTGCCTAAGTGGCTGAAGCTGCCAGGTACTGTAGCCGGGTGGAGGGCAGGGGGCTGGGTGCTTCGACCAGGTGGAGGACGGTGACGGGGCGCAGGGTGCTGTAGCCGAGTCGGAGATGGGGGGCCTCGTGCTGAATTTGGTTGGGGCACAGGGGGGCTGGGTGCTGCAGCTGGGGGTGGAGGAACGAGAGTTTCAGCCGGGCCAGTGAGCAGGTGGCTGGGCAGCGAGAGCCCAGAGCCTGTGGTCACCCTGGTGTGTTTGCACTACAGCCAGCAAGAGGTGAGAGCTGCCAGCCTGAGGTGCCCACCAGCCACAGGACCACCTCCCCTGCCAGCAGGAATAAAGACTCTGCATCCTTCAGTGCCTCCTGTCGTACCTCTTCCAGCAAGGGCCCCCGTCCTCCACCCTGACTTGGCCGGACTGGAGTGTCCACGGTGTGGGCCCCGGTGGCCACTCGCTGGGCCGAGGTGTGCATCCTGAACCCGAGTGGGTCTCCCAACAGTATTTATCCTTCCTCCCAGGGGAACAGAAGTGTTGGAAGAAGGGCTTTTTGGGCAGACTGCCTACAACCCAGGAGCCAAGCCCGGGCCAGGAGCTGGGGGAGTTAGTAGGGCAGGGCCTGGCCTTGGGCCTCCCGCTGTGGCGTGGCTGCAGTGCTGGGTTTTGGCCCTGGCCGCCCAGTAGCAGCGTCTGCAGCAAGCCTAACGACTTCCACGGGCTCCCCAGGGCTTTCAAACCGAGACCTCCTTGGGTGGGCAGGGTGGGGAAGGGGTAGATCCCAGCAGCAGCTCTGCCTGGCCTGGGCCAGTGGGGCTAAATCAGCGATGGAGAGTCTCACCCCAAAGCTGTCTTAGGGCACCACGGCAGGAGAGGCTGGGCCGCCTCCAGTGATCCCCAAGAGGCAGCTCTTGTCCTTCCCACCCTGGAACCTGACTCCCTGCGCTCTAACCCTCCCTGCATGGGGCCCCAGGATGGCGCTCAGCTGAGAGCCCCTTGGATCTTCATAGTCCTGGGCTTATAACTAGGGAGCTGAAGTGAGGGGGGCTACGGCACCTGGCAGGGCGCTGGAGGGTAAGTGGCCCAAGGCCCTGCTGCTTCCCAGGCGTTGGCACCGGTGTAGCTCATACCAGAGACTTCTGAAAATCAGAGGGCAGCCAGACCTGGACGGGGCATCCAGGCAGGTCCCATAGCCCCGTGTTTCCAAAAGTGGGCAGGCGGGGCGCGGTGGCTCACGCCTGTAATCCCAGCACTTTGGGAGGCCGAGGCGGGTGGATCACGAGGTCAAGAGATCGAGACCATCCTGGTCAACATGGTGAAACCCCGTCTCTACTAAAAATACAAAACATTAGCTGGGCGTGGTGGCGCGTGCCTGTAATCCCAGCTACTCAGGAGGCTGAGGCAGGAGAATTGCCTGAACCCAGGAGGTGGAGGTTGTGGTGAGCCGAGATCGCGCCATTGCACTCCAGCCTGGGTAACGTGAGTGAAACTCCGTCTCAAAAAAACAAAAACAAAAACAAACAAAAGTGGGCAGGAGGCATGGCCTGAGGGGGCTGACCCATACCCCCCAGCACTGCTTGGGGCTGGTGTTGGGGAAAGGGAGGCCCTTTCTGTTTCAGCAGGGCCTTGGGCCAGGGTCCCTCTCACCCTGTGCATCCTGGTCCTGTCTGCAGCCACAAGAATGTTCATGGAAGCCACTGCCCACTAGTGTCAGGCCCTGTGGCTGCCCCAGCCCCTGGCACACATGCTGTCAGCCTGTCCGGTGCTTTGCTTTTGTCTTACCAGGGGTGGAAGGGCGCACACAGGGAGTGTGGCTTTGAAGCAGTCTGACTTCAGTGATTAATGGCAACAAGACGGCCAGGCTGGGAGAGACAGTTTTGATTTATTGATGTTGCTTTGTGAGAACAAATTTATAGCCTGGGGAACCATTTTCCAAGGGGAATACCGGATGGCTGGGAGGGTCACATCAGCTTTGATGTCAGTGGCAGGAATGTGGCCAGGAGGCGGCGCTGCCGGCTGCTGTTTGTAAACAGTCTACCTGCTGGCTGCTGGCTGGGCCTTTCCCAGCACTTGCCTGTAGGACCCCAGGGGACAGGGAGGGACTCCCCATGGGCCTGTCCCCAGTGGGCACTCCAAGGGTGGCAATGCACTGCAGTCCTGCCCCTTTGCAAAGGCTGGAGAATCTTGGGAGCTTGTTTGAATCAGCTCCAAATCCCTCAGGTCCTTCTCCGTCTGCAACCAGAGGCCACTAGAAACACAAGACCTGCTTCTGTGGACCAGGGGCTTCCCTGGGGTGGCCTCAGCCACAGCTGAGATCCCTAGAAGTCCAGGAGCTGTGGGGAGAGAAGCACTTAGGGGCAGCCCACCAGCCAGGCACCCCCACCTGTGCACCGACCCGTGTTCACCCACCAGCTGCGGGAGCACCTTCTCCAGCTGGTCCACATCCACGAGAATGGCATCTTCTGCCTGGGCCTGCCGCACCCCACGGACTGCTGCTTCTGCAGTGAGAAGCTCAAGAAGTGGGGGATGCTGGGAGATCTCAAACCTGGGCCCACCGAGGGCCTCAGCCTGGGCCAGTGTCCCCACCCACATCCACGGGCAGCCCCCAGAACCAGGCTGTAGCACCTGACCAACAGGATCAGGAGACCAAGTTCAGGCCCTTGTGGGGAACGGGAAAACATGTCTTGGTTTTCCCGTGGGAAAAACAGAGGAATCCTCAACCCTGTGCCTGGGAGGGAGCCTGGGCCCTGGGCTCACCCACAACGAAGATCTTCAGTAGCTCCGCCATGAGCTGCAGTGCGTCCCCGCTAACTGCAAGAAGGAGAGGAGGTTATCTGGGACCTTTGCCCACTGCCCTGGCTGGGTGCTCCAGATGCACCCCACCCTCCTCAAGGCCTTGGCCCTGCAGAGTTGTGGGAATGGTACAGGACAGGTACGGGAACCCCCTCCCACCTGCACCCCACCCGCACCTTTGGTCTTGTCATCCTTAAAGTGCACGTGCAGCAGCCTGCTCACCAGCTCCTGGAGGAGGGGGGTGTCATTGCCAGGCCCTGCCCTCCCCCACACCCCTAGGGTGGTGATCACTCTGGGTGACAGTGGCTGTGATTTCCAGCTGGAGATGCCCTCTGTGCTTGGGTCTCTCCCAGGGCAGGGGACAAGCGCCTGCCCAGTGCTTAGGGTGGCAGAAGCTGGAAGAGCAGGGTCTATGGTCAGCTCCACAGGTGTCAGGGCCCCTTGCAGTGTCTGTCAGGGAGCTGCCCTGCAGAGTGAGTGGTCGCAGATGTGGGAGCAGGCCCAGCCTGCTGGGGCTCCAGGGGAGAGAGGAGAGGCCTTGTCGAGTCTGGCATAATCTTGCACTCCCGTCCCCAGCCAAGGGCCATGGATCTCCTTTCGAGGAGGCAGGGAAGGCAGAGCCCGCCTGGGTCTGGAGGCTGGAGGCAGCTGCTCCCTGGGTGGGCTGGCCTGAGGGAGTCACACCAGTAAGGCCTTGCTTGGCCAACTCTGTTCAGTGTGCTGGGTCCGCTCCACCGGTCTCGCCCTGGTGCTTATCGTCCTGCAGGAAGTGCTGGTGTCTGGGAGCACAGAGCCAGGCTGCACCAGCGAGGTCCGCAGGTTAGAGTGGAGGGAGGGGTGGGCTAGATGCTGAGGGCCTGAGGGCCCGACCAGCTCTCTGGCAGGAAACTGGGAGTCCTTTCTGGGTTTTTTGTGGAAAGCAGCACTGACGTTTGAAAGGACCCCTCTGGCCACCATGCCCAGGGGATGGGGGGCAGGGAGGAGGCTGCAGAGCTGGGGCCTTTCCACCTTCCTGAAGCATGCAGGACGGGTACAGGGGAGGAGTCCATGCCAAGACCCCAAAAGGACAGCACTGTTCTGTGGAGCTGGGGGGTGTGGGCATGTGTACTCGGGAGCTCGGTTTGGGATGTGTTGTCATAAACACAAGAGGTGTCCACAGAGCGGAGGCGGCAGCGGCAGCAGTGGCTGAGACTTGGAGGGCAGCCCCGGGTGGCTGGTGGAGCCACGAGACTCAGTGAGGTGGCCCAGGGCAGGCACCAGCCCACAGGGGCTGGGAAAGGAGCCAGCATGGAGTGCCCAGGGCTGGGGGCAGGGGCAGTGGGCACCCAGGAGCCCAGAAACAGGCACTACAAGGGAAGGTGGGTGAGGGACCGGCCAGGCTGCCAGCAGCGGGAAGCAGGGAGCTCACAGCACCTCACCCAGAGCAGTCCAACAGGTGACAAGCAGAGCAGCGGGTGGGTGAAACCCTGAGGCACGGGAGGTGAATGTGCCACAGCAGCGGGTAGCAGGGCCCAGCATCCCGGTTCGTCCTGAGCCCTCACTGTCCCCCAGCCAGGGTCCGGGTCACCACCCGCGTAAGCTCAGTGCCACCTGCTGGTCCTTCTGGCTGCCTACCGCCAGCTCTACCTGTAAGGTACCAGAAAAGGCAGAGAAGGCACTACTTCCCCACCTGCTCTGAGACCTCCAACACCGTTGCCCCAGAAGGCCTGGGAAGGAAGACCACGCCAGTGAGTGGCAGCTGCCGGGGCTGCCTGGATAATCCAAGGGGTCGCTCCATACGCAGGCAGTGGCTTCGGGAGACAGGCCCAGCAGTGCGGGTGGGGGTGGGGGCCTGGGACACACCCAGCCTTGACCCCCAGACCTGTGGGTGCCACACCAGGGCTGCAGGCCCCCTGCTCCCCATCATCCTCAGGCTCTTCGCCTGTAATGACCACAACTCCAGCTCTGGCCAGAGGCCTTGGGGCCCTAGTTGTCAGGTGGGCTTGACGGAGAGAACATATGACCTCCCCCGGGGTGTGCCCAGTGCCCTCTCTCCAGCTGTGGCCTTTTGGCTACCCTAACCTGGTGGATTCTCACAACCAAGTGGTGAGGTGGCCCAAGCCTCCGTCACTTTCTCTTTCTGAATTCTGTCTGGCAAGAATCTTCAGCAACTTCACCCCTAGAGTCCCTCCGCTCCCCCTCAACCCTGCACGGAGCCCCTGGTGTCCTTGGGTGATAAGAGGCTGACACAGAAAGAATTCCCCCTGCCTCTCTACAGGGTTGAAGTCCTCCCCTGAGGATGGGTCCACAAGGGCCTGAGACCCTCCCCTTTCCAGGCCGCAGAGGTCCACGAGGCCCTGATGACATCGAGGAAGCTCGGTGCCTCAACCTTCAGGTACAGTAATGAAGGACTCAGAAACCACTCTGCCTGCACAGAAGGGGGCCTCTGCACATGACACCCCCAGGGAGCCCCACTCACCAGGGGTAGGGAAGAGCGGGGCACCCTTCCAGCCTTGGCGGATCCTGGCTCAGACGGCCTGGGTCTGACCCTAGCCCTGCTGAATCACTTAACGCACCCGAGCCTGGGTTTCCCAATGGCGGGCGGGGTTAATAGGTGTCCAGTGTGTGTAACGTGGAGCACCGAGGACACCACGCGTTCCTGGGACTTAGCCCAGTGCTGGCACCCACCGGGGAGCGGGCAAAAGGGGAGCTACTGTGCCTGGCGGCTGGCCAGGTCCTGCCGCCTCGGGCTGGACGGTCTCACTGTTGCCGTGCTGGGGTCTGACCTCCTCTTCACAGGAGAAACCAGGCTCAGGGCGCAGGGCGGCGGCCCAGCTCCTCCTCTCTTTTTGCCGGCCTGGACTCCGCCGGGACGGCGCCTACCCCTGCCTATTTCTGCAGACGTTCTCCACCTTCCTGCAGCCCCGGCTGCCCCACGCGCCCTTCCACCTGCTGCGGGACCCCCGCCCAGGAGAGCGCGGGGCGCGCTGGCGGGCCGGGGTAGGAGTCTGAGAACGGGCCCAACCTCAAAGGAACAGGTGGGCGGCGCGGGGGCTGGCTTCGGGCCCTCACAGTGTCACACGTGGGGTCGGGATGCAGCGTCCACGCCGGCCCAGCCCCTGCCCGCCGGCCCTCACCTTCCGGAAACCAGCTCCTGCTCCGGCTCTCTCCATGGCCGCCACCTCTGCGCGCGCCCTCCGGAGCCCCGCCCCGCGCCCCCAGCCAATGAGACCCGAGCGCGCCCCCAGAGCGCCTTCTCCCAGAGCCCCGCCCCTATCTTCAGCCAATGAGCCCGAAGCGCGCCCTCCCGCAGCCCCACCCTCACGCCTCTCAGCCAATCAACCAGGAGCGCGCCCTACCGGGGCACCACCCTCACGTCCCTCAGCCAATTATCCTGGCGCATGCCCCCCCGGAGCCCCACCCTCATGACCGTAGCCAATGAAACTGGAGCGCGCTACTCCCCTTCAGCTTGCTACCCCAAGAGCGCGCCAGTTCCTTTGTTCTAATTGGCCCCCAACTAGCGCCGCCAGCGCAGGGCCTGCTGGGAGTTGTAGTTCCCGGGGCCGCTCCCGGCGCGCCTGGTTCTTCCTGGATACTGAGGTCCCGAAGCGTCTGTCGCGAGGACTGGGGCGGGGGCTGCGGGCGCGCAGGGCCTGGAGGGGGCGCGCGACGAGCCTGCCTCCTTCCTGCACGGGTGGTCCCCACGCACCGCGGGGCTCCAGCCCAAAGCGGACCTTGCCTGCCGCCCAGCCCCGCGCTCCCAGGACCTCCCGCCCGCAGAGCCCACTCTGATTGCTCTTCGTCCGGGTCAGCGGAGGCCCAGTCTCCTGTACCCGGCGCCGGGGCTGCTCCGCACCAGGCGGCTCCCTTTCAGCAGCTGCGGGAGCATGCGGAGGAGGTCCTGCCGACCCCGCGGGTCATGGAGGAGTTCCGGCGCTCCTACAGCCGCTTGTGCAAGGAGAGTGGGGCCGAGCCCCAGGAGGCTGTCCTGCAGCAGCTGCACCAGCTTCCCAGGGGCCGGCTGGACCTGGCCACGCAGAGCCTGACGGTGGACACCTGCAGGGCCCTGGGCAAGCTGCTGCCGAGGGAGACGCTGTGTACGGAGCTGGTCCTGAGCGACTGCATGCTCAGCGAGGAAGGTGGGCAGGCCCGGCAGGGTAGGACGCTGCTCCTTAGCTGCCCACGCCGTTGCCTTGGCAGCCCCAGAGGCCGCCTCCTCTCCGGGCTCTCCTCTTTCTGTACCGTCGTTAAAGCGAGCAGGGGCGCCTGCTCCTGCACCTGGGAGTGGAGGGCAGTTCCTCTTTTTGACCGGGGAAGAGGCCTTAACCTGCCGCGACTTACCTGGTTCCCTGCGTGCTGACGCGGCTTTGTGCTGCAGGTGTTTCAAACACGGCTTCGCAGCGAGACTCTTGGCCAGCGCCAACCCAGACCACCGGGGCAGTTGTCCTTCCCTGGGTTTAGGGAGCTGCCCTGAAAAGGGGCCCACAGGGAGGGTCTTGGGGTCAGCAGGGGCAGAGAGTAATCGCGGCCCCCCTTACACAGGGGCCACACTGCTTCTCCGAGGCCTGTGTGCCAACACCGTGCTGCGCTTTCTGGACCTAAAGGTGAGATACCTGCACTCTGGGTGTCCGAGTGTGCCACCCGAGGGCAAGAGGAGAGTGGGAAGATGCCAGGTCTCGGGGGCCTGGGGTCTGGGCAAGTGGCTGGAAACTGTAAGTGCCCCAGGCCGTTCTCCGACGGCCTCCTGTTTGAGTGACTGTCTCTGGAGCAAGAGTTCACGTCGGCAACAAGCAAGCCGGCCCCAGGAAGCCCCCTGAAGGAGGGGAGGCCACACCTCCGCCCAGGGGGCACCCCAGCCTTGTCCACTGGCTGACCGGGGCCCTTAGGGCATGAGCGGAAATTCGGAGCCAGTCAGGGCGAGGGCAGCGATTACCGGCCTGTTTCTGCCCTAGGGTAACAACCTTCGAGCCACCGGGGCTGCGGCTCTGGGAAAACTTCTCCAACAGAACAAGTCCATTCAGAGGTGGGTGGTGGTCCTGACCCCACCGTCACCCCGGGCCCCCTCTCTGTGTGGTTGTGGATTGGCCCCAGAGCACATCGTTCTGCTGCCCAAGAGTTCACAATTGCCAGTTGTCTGCTGTGTTTCACAAACGGCGGGGAGCAGGCAGAGGCTCCAGCCCATCATCAGACCCCCTCCAGCCCCAGCTGACACCGTCCCCAGGCCCTGGACCCCATGGGCTAGGCAGTCCCCGGGGCGAACACTGGCTCCTGTCCTTCCTGCAGCCTCACGCTGGAATGGAACAACCTGGGCACGTGGGATGATGCCTTCGCCACCTTCTGCGGGGGCCTGGCGGCCAATGGCACGCTGCAGCAGCTGGACCTCCGCAACAACCAGATCAGTCACAAGGGCGCCGAGGAGCTGGCCCTGGCCCTGAAGGGCAATGCCACTCTCCAGCAGCTGGGTGAGGCCTCCAGGGTGCCTCGGGGTCCCTCATCCCTCCGAGACTGCCTGTGCTCTTGGAAGTGAGGGGCTAGGGGACCAGCCAGGCCAGCTCCCCCTCCACCAGGTGCATTCCATCTGGTGACTACAGGTTTCCTTCCAGACCTGCGCTGGAATAACATTGGTCTCCTGGGGGGCCGGGCCCTCATGAACTGTCTCCCCAGCAACAGAACCCTGTGGAGGCTGGACCTGGCTGGGAACAACATCCCCGGAGATGTCCTCAGAGCTGTGGGTACGCTGCAGGGCTGTGTGGAACGACACATGAGCCTCTGAGAGAGGCCTGTCCACCGAGGGCGGGGTGCTGGGCCTGGGACCAGATGATGAGAGCAGCCCGAGAGCCTGAGGAATCGGAAGGAGCAGAGGGTCTCGGTGCACTTGATTGGCGCTCGCCACACATGGGCACTGTCCAAGACTCCCCGTGTGCTCGATGAGTTCTTATGACCTGTGCAGTGGGGGTGCCCATTTCATAGCTGCAGAAGCTGAGGCCTTGTGGCTCACAGCCCTGGCCTTGGTGGCAGTGCTGATGCTTCAGGTGGCCCAGGCCTTGGCAAGGGAGGGGCTTCTTGGCATTTGCTCTGTGGTCAACCTGAGTTGTGGCCCTGCATGTGGGTCCTGTGGGGTGGCGCTGCCTGGTCTGTGTGGCCTCCACATTCCCACCCACCAGCAGCCCCAAGTCCTTGCAGCTGATGTTTCAGTGTCAGGCCACATACTCCCTCATCCACACACAGTGGCAGCCTCTTGGCCCCTGTGCCAAGGGCTCACCCTCCTGCTGGCCCTGCCTGGCCTCTGGCTCCAGCCACGCCGTCCCTGGCGTTGCCCGAGTGCTGGCCTGACTGTTGTCATTGCTCCTGACCTCTGCCGCCTCCCCACACGCCATGGTCTTTCCAGAATGTGAGCTGGGCACAGTGTTCGCCTCAGCATTGCGCTGTGCCCCTTGATCTTTGGGATGGTGGCCAGACGCCCCAGGTTGGCCCTCGCCTTTTGTGGTGGCCGTACCACCTCTGCCCCACGTGTTCACGTGCCCCCCAGCACCGGGCGCCTCCTGCTCAGGACCCTACCCCATGAAGCTCATCCACCCCAATGCACTGAGGGGGTGCCCGGCATAGCACAGATTTCCAAGCAGCCAGCCACTGGGTGCAAACCAGCCACCTCTGAGGCTGAACAGCCCTGAGTGATACAGCCCGTGTGTGTGTGCGTGTGTGTCTTCGCGTGTGCGCATGCCTCAGCCTCCTGAATAGCAGAGATTACAGGTGTGTGCCACCACGCCCAGCTAATTTTTTGTATTTTTAGTAGACATGGGGTTTCACCACGTTGGCCAGGGTGGTCTCAAACGCCTGACCTCAGGTGATCCAACCTCCTCAGCCTCCCAGAGTGCTGGGATTACATGTGTGGGCCACTGTGTCCGGCTGACACAGCTCCTTCTGACAGAGCAAGCCATGGGCCACAACCAGGACCGGCTCACCACCTTCCAGGAGAACCATGCCCGCACTCACGTGCTCAGCAGGGAGGTCCAGCGCCTCCGGGAGGAGAAGTCCAAGCAGGTGAGGATGGCGCCTTCGCTGGCCTTGGAGCTGCTCATGGCTGGGGGTCCTGCCTCCCCCAGCTCCACGGTATGCCTGCCTTCCCTTCCTTGGGGCTCTGGAGCCTCCCTGAGTGGCTGGTACCTGGAAGGAGGGGCAGCCATCTGGTCTGACTCCCTGCAGGTGGGCTTCCTTGGGGAGCTGGCATCTGGCATCTGAGCCCCAAGGCCTTGCTCTGTAGCAACCACCCTCCCTGTGAAGGAGATGGGGTACTGTGGGTGGAACCCTTCGCTGCCTTGCTGGGCTCCTGCTCTCCTTCCCCTGAGAAGGTTGGGTGGACAGGCTGCAGGTGCCCTGACAGGCTGCGGCTGTCTCTGTCCCCAGTTTTTGGACTTGATGGAGACCATCGATAAACAGCGGGAAGAGATGGCTAAGAGCAGCAGGTGAGTGAGCCCAGGGCCACAGGGGCAGGGTGAGGCTTCAGGGCTCAGGTCCTGGCCCAAGACTCAGCTGGGACCCAACCCGAGCCCACGAGTGAGGCCACCAGGAGGCGGCTGGAGGCTCAGTGCCCGGACGACCATAGATGCTTAAGGAACAGCAGCCCCCAAGGCCGGGGGAACGGCGGTGCTCTGGGGCTGGGGTTACTCTGCACCCCCCTCTCTGCCCACAGAGCGTCAGCAGCCCGCATAGGGCAGCTTCAGGAAGCCCTGAACGAGAGGCACTCCATCATCAATGCTCTCAAGGCCAAGTAAGGATGGGGGGTGGCTTCAGGATACTTCAGAGATGTGCCACAGGGCAGAAGAGGGTGATGTGAGCCTGTGTGCAAGTCCTGTGTACAGAGCAGAGGTGGGAAATGGGGTGAGACTGGGGCAGTAACCTGGAAGCCTTCCTGGAGGAGGCAGGTGCTGGCTGGCATTGACTAGGTTCCCGGTAACAGTGAGAACAGTGAGGCCTTTGTAAGGCAGGTGAAGTCCAGCTGGGATGGGGTGCTGCCCTTCCTCTCTGCAGGCTGCAGATGACAGAGGCTGCCCTGGCTCTGTCGGAGCAGAAGGCCCAGGATCTGGGGGAGCTCCTGGCCACAGCGGAGCGGGAGCAGCTGAGCCTGTCGCAGAGGCAGGCCAAGGAGCGCAGGCTGGAGCAGCAGGTGGGTGGGCAGGGCTTGAGAGGGGTGGGCTGGGAGGTGCGTGGCGGCCGAGGGACCCTCACTGTGCACACCTCCCCGCCACCCCCAGGAAGCTGCGGAGCGGGAGTCTAAGCTCCTCAGAGACTTGTCTGCTGCCAACGAGAAGAATCTGCTTCTGCAAAACCAGGTAGCTGTGGGGTGGAGCCAGGGAGCCCAGGGTGGGCACGGCAGGGCTGGTTCACAGCCTCCCTCCATGCTGCTGGCTTTCCAGGTAGACGAATTGGAGGGGAAAGTCAAGTGTCAGCAGGAGCAGCTGTTCCAAACCAGGCAGGAGCTGACCAGCACGTCGGCCCAGCTGAAGATGCGGGCCATCCAGGCTGAGGGTGGGCACAGGCGGGCCTGCTGCGGAGGGGCCTGGGGATGGGTACACTGGGGACGGGGACCTCCAGGGGATGCTCACAAATGCTCTGCCCCGCTGGACTTCCAGAGCGCCTGGACATGGAGAAGAGAAGGTCCAGACAGAGCCTGGAGGACTCGGAAAGCCTGCGCATCAAGGAGGTGCCCTCCCACTTGGCCTCATCTGGCCTCTAACACACCTCAGTGTCTGGCCTTGGTGTCATGCAGGTGTCCCCAGGTGTCCCACACTTGGTGGGAGCTCCCTTTGTCACCTTGGGTCAGTGGGTGGCTGTATTTTGCCAGGCTGAGTGGATGTCAGACCCAGAACCTCCTATTGGGGCTGGGAGGGGACTCCATCCATGCCTCAGCCATAGGACAGGCTGGTGTTGAAGAGACACCCAGCCCCACCCATTCAGGGTACGCGTGCTAGGGCAGGTTCCTGCTAGGCCACCCGAGGCAGCGCTTTCTCAGAATGAACAAGGTTCCCAAGAGACGACTGCCCTCCAGGGTGGGGATTCCATGGGGGAAAGAGAGGGGGCCTTGCTCCTCATCCTGGCCCCACAATCACTGTGCCTGAACAGGTGGAGCACATGAGCCGCCACCTGGAAGAGAGCGAGAGGGCCATGCAGGAGCGGGTGCAGAGGCTGGAGGCTGTGCGGCTGTCCCTGGAGGAGGTGGGTGCCCACCAGGCGGGGCTGAGCTCTGCCTTAGCCCTGGGCTGAACAAGGGAGGCAGCCCCTGGTGTTCACAGCCTCAGGACCCCCGAGAGCCCTTCCTGGTCTCAGAGCCTCATAGGCCCACCTTGGGACTCACCCACCAGTGTGCCGAAGAAGCTACAGGGACGTAGGTGGCATTCGGGCTCCCTTGGCTGTAGGAACCCCGCCCAGTGAGCCAGGTGGCAGGGCAGTTTCATGGCCCTCAGGAGGCTGGCAGAGGAGAGCCTCTCCAGCTAGGGTTGCCTGGATGGGCCAGAGAGAGAAGGGCTGTGGGCCAGGGACAGGAGAACAGGCTGGCAGGAGAACGCCATCTATGTGCAGGAGCTGAGCCGAGTGAAAGCAGCAGCACTCAGTGAGCGTGGCCAGGCCGAGGAGGAGCTGATCAAGGCCAAGAGCCAGGCCCGCCTGGAGGAGGTGAGCCCACAGATGCCCGCCACCCTCTGGGGGAGCCAGGCTGCCTGGCTTCGCTTCCCACATGCAGGCTCCAGAGCTGGGGCTTTGAGTGGGGAGGCGGGAGTGTGGTGTTGAGGTCAGGTCACACATCTGTCCCCCTGCACACTGCTGGGAGGCTTCAGCTTTGCATCCAGGCCTGCGATGGTGGCGGGGTTTGACCCATCCCTGCAGCCTGTGACTGCATGGAGGAACTGGAGGGGTGGCGTGACTGGAGAGGGACGAGGGGAGTCTAGAGGGCATCTGCAGGAGGTGCCTGCCAGGAGTGGGTTCAGAGCAAGAGGAGTCGTAGTATCTTGAGCAGCCGGTCTGGCGGAGGGGTGGGGTCGTGCCCATGCAAACCTCTCAGGAGGTGAGCTCCGTGGCGGCTCCTGTGCCCACAGCAACAGCGCCTGGCTCACCTGGAGGAGAAGCTGCGTCTGCTGGTGCAGGCGCGGGATGAGGCGCAGGGCGCCTGCCTGCAGCAGAAGCAGGCCGTGGTGGAGGCCCAGACCCGGGCCAGCCAGCTGGGCCTGCAACTGGAGGGCCTGCGGCGGCGCCTGGAAGAGCTGCAGCAGGTAGCCGGGGCTCCGGTGCGGGGTGCGGGGGTCGGGGGGCGAGGGTGCTAGCCCCCGACCCCTCGCCTCACTCCCCAGCCTTCGTTCCTGGCAGGACCTGAGCCACAAGGACGAGGAAAGGGTGGCCGAGGTGAGCAGGGTGCGCGTGGAGCTGCAGGAGCAGAACGGCCGGCTGCAGGCGGAGCTGGCGGCCCAGGAGGCGCTGAGGGAGAAGGCGGCGGCCCTGGAGCGCCAGCTGAAAGGTGAGCCAGACCCTCGCCCTCCCGGCGCCCGCTGACGGGAGGGACGTGAGGCTACCCGGAGAGCGGGGCCTGCCGCGGGGCCTGCCACGGGGCCTGCCACGGGGCCTGCCACGGCGCTCCCTGCCCGGCAGTGATGGCGAGCGACCACCGGGAGGCGCTGCTGGACAGGGAGAGCGAGAACGCGTCTCTGCGGGAGAAGCTGCGGCTCCGGGAGGCGGAGATCGCCCGCATCCGGGACGAGGAGGCGCAGAGGGCGAGCTTCCTGCAGAACGCCGTCCTGGCCTACGTGCAGGGCTCCCCCGTGCGGACCCTGAGCCCCCCAAAGTGAGGCGGGCCGGGAGGACCCGGCGCAGCGGCCGCGACGGACCGGGGGCCGCGTCCTGCCCGCGCCGCCCCTTCCCGTGAGACCCGGGCCGTCGGGTCCAAGCGGGGTTGCGGCGACCGCGCGGGAGGCGCCTGGGAAGGGCTCCCTCCCTGCCCCTGCGTCCCGCCGCCGCCGCCCGGAGCGCCCCGGGAAGGGGCCCCGCGGGTGCGTCTCCCCTCGCGCCTTGCGATGTCACCCTGAACGCCGCGACCGCCCGCGCGCGGCGGGATTGGAAATACAGCGCGTCCGCACTTCGTGACACGTTCCGGCCCCGCCTCTCCCTCCCAGCGCGCCGACCCTCCGCCCTCGCCCTGCCGGGCTGCGGCCGTTAGCCCTCCTCCCTGCTGCCCGGCGGGGCGGCAGAGCCGCGGGGGCGTCCGTCTGCGGGTTCGGGCGGCTGCGGAACCCCGAGTTCGCGGCCGGCTCCCGGCGGCAGGGGGCAGGTCCCCGAGAACGCGCAGCGCGCGCGGCCCGCCCCTCCGGCTCCAGTCCTGAGCTCCCTCCGGCCCGCGCGGCGCCCCGAGGAACTGCCGAGACCTCCGGGCCCGGGACGCGCGGGAGGAGGCCGCGCCGCGGCTCCCGCAGCCGTGCCCGGGTTCGGGCGGCCCCGCCCCCCAGCCGCGCGCCCCCCGCCCCCGCCCCCGCCCCCGCCCCCGCCCCCCGCCGGCCGCGCTCGGCTGTCTCCGCGCCCGGCTTTCGGCGGCGCTCGGCTGTCTCCGCGCCCGGCTTTCGGCGGCGCTCGGCTGTCTCCGGCCGCTCGTCGGCGCTCGGGTCCGCGGCCGCTGCGGCGCCGGGCATTTCTCCGCAGCTCGGCTCGCGGCCGCGCCCGCCGCCGCCCGGCCCGCGCCCATGCAGGCCATCAAGTGCGTGGTGGTCGGCGACGGGTGAGTGCGCGGCCCGGGCCGCCCGGCTGGTCTGGGCGGGGGCGGCTCCGGGGCTCGGGGCGCAGCCCGGGCGGGGCGGGGATGGCGCCCGGGTCCTCGAGAGGCGGCCCCGCCGGAGCCCGCCCGAGCGGCGAGCGCCCCAGGGCGGAGGAGGGCGGGCTGCGGCGGGGCGGGGTCCGCGGGCCTCCGGCTCGGGCCCACCTGATGCACCCGGCTCCCGCCCGGGCTGGCTGCGAGCGAGGCGGGGCCGCCGCCCCGTGCTCCCAGTGGGTGGGGCCAGGCCTCTCACCTGGGCTGCACCCTGTGCCGGCCCCACCCTCCCGTGCCGCCGCTCCTCGGAGTCGGGGCCTCCGCCGCTCTGCCTGGGGGTCCAGTGTTGGGGCGCCCCCATTTACCACCCCAGTCCCCGGAGCCCGGCCTGCCCTGGTCGTCCTCCAGCCCTAGGTCGCCGCGGATCTGGTGGGCTGGGACCCCCGCCTTTCCCTCAGACGCCCCTAACTCGCCTCTGGCTCCGGGGGAGGGGGGCTGCCCTTGCTGGGCAGTGGGTCCCAGGCCGGGCCCGGGAGCCACGTGGCTTGCCCTGTCTGCAGCGCCGTGGGGAAGACATGCTTGCTGATCAGCTACACGACCAACGCCTTCCCCGGAGAGTACATCCCCACCGTGTGAGTGTGGGGGGCTTCCTGGGAGAGCACATGCCCACCGTGTGAGTGTGGGGGGCTTCCTGGGAGAGCACATGCCCACCGTGTGAGTGTGGGGGGCTTCCTGGGAGAGCACATGCCCTCCGTGTGGGTAGGGCATGGGGGGGACACGGGCCGGGGCTCCCCTGGGCTTCCAGGTCCGGTTCAGGTGGCCCTGCCTGAGCTTCCCGGCTGGGGCTGAAGTGCCAACTAGAATTCCAGTTCCGTGCAGACTTGTGAACCCCAAGACACAAGCCGCGGGGCTGGGGGTTTCTGGGACCCTTCCCAAGTCCTGACCCTGCCCTCACTGCCCTGCAGCTTTGACAACTACTCTGCCAACGTGATGGTGGACGGGAAGCCGGTCAACCTGGGGCTGTGGGACACGGCGGGGCAGGAGGACTATGATCGGCTGCGGCCGCTCTCCTACCCCCAAACTGTAGGTGACAGGGCCGGCCCCAGGAGCTGGGTGGGTCCCTGAGGTCCGGACAGGGGAGGGAGCAGGCCCACAGGGACCCCCTGACCACTCCACCGGCCCCCACCTTCTTCCCAAGGACGTCTTTCTAATCTGCTTCTCCCTGGTGAGCCCGGCCTCCTTCGAGAACGTTCGTGCCAAGGTGGGCAGGGCTGGGGCCCTGGTGGGGGAGGGCTTGCCCCAGAACCTGCCCTGACAGTTGTCCTTTAGAGGCAATTGAGCTATGGCTCTTCCTGGGGTAGGCACATGGGGTGGGATCTGAAGATGACCGCGGGGGCTGATGGGGCGGCATAGCGGTGGTGGATACAGCTCTCAGAACGGAGTCTGAGAGCGGGGGATGGGCCTTGACTGGGAGGTCCTGGGGGTCTCCAGCTTCCCTGGCTGTTTGTTTTTGGCATTTCCCCACCAAACCCACCAGACCCCTGGTCACCCTTTGAAGGAAGAAGAGCCAAGTGTCTCTGGAGCAGTGGGGAAAAGGGCCTGAGAGCCGTGGCCTGCTCAGGCGGGGCTAGGGTAGCAGACCCAAGCGTAAGGGTCAGAGTGGTCTGTCCCTGCAGTGGTACCCAGAGGTGCGGCACCACTGCCCCCACACGCCCATCCTCCTGGTGGGCACCAAGCTGGACCTCCGCGATGACAAGGACACCATTGAGCGGCTGCGGGACAAGAAGCTGGCCCCCATTACATACCCACAGGGCCTGGCCATGGCCCGGGAGATCGGTGGGTAGGCGCTGGCGGCCTGCAGGGGAGGGGCAGGGAGGCTCGAGGAGGGCCCCCCAATACCCCACCCTGTCTTCCCTCCTCACCACTGTCAGGCTCCGTGAAGTACCTGGAGTGCTCAGCCCTGACCCAGCGGGGCCTGAAGACAGTGTTTGACGAGGCGATCCGGGCAGTGCTCTGCCCGCCCCCGGTGAAAAAGCCAGGGAAGAAGTGCACTGTCTTCTAGAGCCTGAGGGCTGGCAGGGGAGCAGCCCTAGACGTGTCTGCTGTTGTGTTGAGACGTGTGGTGTCCCTGAGTTGGCAGTGGGGAGCAGTGGGGGTGGGCAGCGGGAAGCATGGGGACGAGGCTGGGCGGCAGGGTCCTGTTCTCTCTGCCGCCTCTTTCTGGGGTGTGGCTCCAGCCTTCCCTGGCCCCCACCAGAGGCCGGGAGGGAGCATGGTCTCCCTCGGGGCTGAAGGGGCAGGTGTGGGGAGGGTGGGGGGGAGTTCTGTCCATTGCGCCCCTCAGCGGGGCGGCCCCTTCTTATTTTATACAATAAACATTCTCTACCTACACCTCCTGCCTCTCACTACCTGCCCTTCTGCCCTAGGCGGGGTTTGCTCCTAACTGCCCCCCCAATGACCACGCAGAGCGTGTGGGTCACACCCCAGCTGCACCTTGGAGTCGATTCCTGATGGGCAGCACTAAGCTTCCTCCCCTGGACCCAGAGGCAAGAGGGGCTTGCTGCACTCCTCAGCCCCCAAAGGAGCCAACCCAGATCAAAGCAATAGCAAGTGCTTTGAGCCCTTGGGATGTGCCAATTTGCGGCCTCAGAGGGCACATTTCCGGGAGAGGTGGCCAACCAGGCAGCTCCAGTTGTGCTGACCGGGACAGTCTGAAAAGAGGCTAAACCAGGTCAGGCCTCTCAGAGCCTCATGGGAGCTGAGGTAGCCTCCCCCACATCCCTCAGCTCCTCTGGCTGGCACTGGGAGGAGGGGCATTCAGGCGGAGGCACAGGGTGGACAAAGGCACAGGGGTCGGTGTGTGGCATCAAGAGTGAAGACAGCAGCGACCCAGCACAGTCTGCTGATGCTGAAGCCTGAAACAGTGGGCCTCGAGCCACGTTTTGGAGTTTGGAGTCACTCAGGATCGGAGGGTGCCGAGGGCCAGAGTCAGCTTCACCTGGTGCTGGGTGGGGACAGCTCCTTCTGGCTCAGTTAAGCCAACTGCTGAATTCTCAAGAATTTTGCCAGTCAGTTGTTAACCATTATTAACAATTATAGAAGTTTACAATTTGTTTTATTAAAAGCAAAATCAACCAACATCACTTCCTAGTTATTTCTGCACACATTACTATTTTCTCTGCCCCGGGTTATGTATATCTGTGGTACCTATGGACACAGACACCACGTAACAGGGTGCTGAGGGTATCTCTTCCACCTCCACGTTCAATAGCTTGAAATCAGCTGTGGTGGGAGTGTTTACACCATGGGAATTGGCAAACTCGTTACATTGGAGCTTGATTTATAGTTAAGTGTCTAGACTTAATAAGATGATGGAGAAAATGCAGATTAGACTTCAGGATGCTGTATCTGTTCATTACAGTGTGAGCAGCACCACAAGTTGAGGAAATGCTCTTCTAGTGTTTGAAAACCATTGTCTGATTCAACAAACTGGCTCAGGTCATTGACAAAATGGAGAAGCTTGAAGTCTTCCTTGCTGCCCTTTTGTCTTACTCATTAGCCTGAAGGAAGAGTAGCCAACCGCACACTCACAGAACGGGTGACAAAAACTTACATGCACACGCTGTCCCACCCCAGGGTTCTGGACAGGTCCCAAGGCCATCCGTGCTGAAATTCACTGCCTTCCTTAGGAGCCAGCCTTTCACCACCTCCTACCTCCCTCCCAGTCCCACACAGCAAGCTGGCCATCTGAGAGCTGTATCCACCACCACTATGCCACCCCATCAGCCCCCACGGTCATCTTTTGGTTGGAATGTGGCTCTCATGGGTCTCTGCCAGCATTACCACACCCCGCCCCGAGCCTCAGCTACCTGCTGGCAGCCTAGGAATAGCACATAGCCTGAGCAGAGGAATCAGTTTTATTGGAGGGATTGGGGGTAGGATGGGCATGGCATGGGGCTGAGGTGTGTGTGGAGAGGGCTCAGGTGGCCCAAAAGCCCCCATCCACCGGCACAATGGAGCCAGTGGTCATACCGCTTCGGTCACTCAGCAGAAAGAGGATGGCGTCCACCACGTGCTCTACCTCTGTGGGCAGGGCAGGAATCGGGGCAGAGATGAAGGAGGCTGCCACTCATCTTTCCCTCCCACCCCTGCCCAGGGCGGGTACAGGGGCTACTGGTGCCATGCTGGCTGGGCTCCCACCCTACTCACCAGCAAACTTGCCAAGTGGGATTCGGTCAAGCATAGTCTTGGCCTTTTGGGGGTCGAGCCAGTTGGTCCGCCCCATGGGCGTCATCACCACTGTGGGGTTTACTGCATTCACTCGGATCTACACCAGGACAGCTGGGGTCAGCAGGGTGAGTGGGGTGCCCTAGGTTGGGGGAGGCACCCCAGTGCTGCTCACCTTGTGGGGCCCGAGCTCTAGGGCCATCACCTTGGTCAGCATGTCCAGGGCACCCTTGGTGGAGCCTGTGAAGGGGAACCCAAGCTGGCTGGTGCTGGGGCTGGGGCTGGGGCAAGACCGAGGGCACAGCTGGGGCACTCACAGTAGATGCTGTGGTTAGTTATTGCCCTCTGGGAGGCCTGGCTGGAGATATTCACGATGGCCCCCGGGGCTCCCCGGGCTATTAAGCCCCTGGCCACGATCTGGAATTGCAGTGAGAGGGTGAGGCAGAGCTGGCAGCACTCACCAGAGTTCCCGTCCAGCCTGGAGGGCAGCTCACCTGCGACACCTGGAGGACTGCTCGCAGGTTCACCTCAAAGGATCTAGAGGCCAAGGGACAGAGCCCGGTCAGAGGCTGGCGCTGCTGCCTCCGGGACTGCCCCTCTCTAGGGTTCCTCCACTCCCACAGGCTCACCTGTCAAAGGCCTCCTTGGTGACCTCCAGGAAGGGCTGCAGCAGGGCCACAGCTGCGTTGTTCACCAGCAGGTCCACGGGGCCCACGTTGCCCAGGGCCCGCTCGGTGGCCTCCCAGTCGCTCAGGTCCACACAGACAGGATCTATCCCAGGGCACTGTGTGTATCAGCAGGCAAGTTACCAGAGACTCTGTGCCCAGCAAGCCGCACAGCCGGGGACTGGGGCTGGTGCCCTTTCAGCCGACAAGGAAAGGAGTTAGGAGTTCCGGAGTGGTCAGGGCTCTGGGCCCGCAGCCAGGCGCTGCCTCCTGCTGGGTCACTTCCCCCCCTGAGCCCGAGCGCCTCCTGCCCCGGGCCTGCTGTGTAGCCATTTCGGCCTCTTTCCGAGCCCGAGGGCCCTGGCGGCTCTGCTGGCCACGCGGCCGCCCACGCAGACCACGAGCCCTGGGAGTGAGTGGGTGCGAGGGCGCCCAGGCCGCGGTGAGAAGCGCAGCGCCTGCGAGGGGAGGCCGAGCCGCGCACAGGGGTTACCGACCCTGCCCGCTGGCGCCCCTCCCCGCTCGCCGCCCTGGGACCCGGCGGCGCGTACCTCGCGGACAAGGCTGTCCAGGTCGGCCTGGGTCCTGCTCACAGCCACCACCCGCGCGCCCGCCGCGTGCAGCGCCTGGACCGTGCCACGCCCGATGCCTGCCGGGGTATAGCTCCGTGAGGGCGCCCTCCGCCCGCCTTTGCCCGCCGCCCCCACGTTGCCCGCCGCCCACCTTTGCCCGCCCCGGTGACCAGCGCGCGGCGACCCGCGAGCCCCAGCTCCATGTCCGCGCCGTCTCCGCCCTCCGTGCTGGGGTCGCGGGACTTGAAACTCGGGCCGCGGAGGGCGGGGCGCGGCGGGGCCAATGGCAGGGCGGCCTCCGGAGACGGGGCGGGGACATGCAAATCGCTGCTGCGCCCTGCGGCGATTCGCCGAGAGGAGCGGGCGCGCCGGGCGGGGCGGGGCCTCCGCGGTCCCTGGGCCGGGTCTTTTGAACTGCCCGGTGTGACCCACCCACCGGGCCTGAAGTCCGTTTAGTGGACCCTGGCTAGCTGTTTTTCCTGCCAAGATTATGACAAAAAGCCGCTGGCGGTAATATCGGAACGAACGTGTGGCTAAATTCGGGAAGCACACGTGAAATGAAGAACTCAGAGCCAACATTTCTTGTTTTGTTTCTGAAAACTTTGTCATGTCCTAAAACGTGTCACCTGTGCCCATCATCCCCCAGGCGTGGGAACAGGACACGGAGGCTCACTGGTAATGCCAAGGGAAAGAATTTGGACAACCCAGTGTGTCTGGAGAAGACACCAATGTCAGCAGATCTCCGCTTTCATCTGAAAGGGACTTGAACCACAGGTCACCTTGGACAGCCAGCATGCGGCCGCGGGCGCCTTTTAGAAGTTGAATAGGGGCCGGGTGCGGTGGCTCACGCCTGTAATCCCAGCACTTTGGGAGGCCGAGGCGGGTGGATCACGAGGTCAAGAGATAGACACCATCCTGGCCAACATGGTGAAACCTCGTCTCACCTAAAAATACAAAAATTAGCTGGGCATGGTGGCCTGCGCCTGTAGTCCCAGCTGCTCGGGAAGCTGAGGCAGGAGAATTGCTTGAACCCTGGAGGCAGAGGTTGCAGTGAGCCGAGATTGCGCCACTGCACTCCAGCCTGGCGCCTGGCAATGGAACAAGACTCTGTCTCAAAAAAAAAAAAAAAAAAAAGAAGTTAAATAGGATAGGAAGAGATAGGATTGGGGTCACAGAAGTACACGGTGGCCCAGCAAAGACCAGCATTGCTTCCCAAGGCTTTGGGATCAGTTACAGATGTGTGTGTACCCGCTCACACCCGGCCTCCGTGTAAAACCTACTTTGTTCCGTGTTTCATTGTAGGAAAGTCTAGAACCACTGTCCTGAGGACCTTCTGTGGCCAGGAGTATGGAATTGGTGATTGTAGCTGTGGATCCAGGCCCCAGACTTTGGATCATCTAGAGCTTGGGGCCCAGAGGCATGGAAAGGCTGGAGTCAAGGGTGGCTAGGTACAGCAGGAGGCAAGGTCCTGGTTTGTTCTGGGGGCAGCCAAGTACATTGTCCCTATCAGACCTGGCCCTGCAGTCAGTCCACCACCCCTGGCCACCCTGTCAACTCTGCTTTTTGCCCCTACCCTTGGAGCCCACTCTCTGCTTGCCAGCAGCCAAGGGAAGAACAGCTTTCAACCTGTACTTCCCAGAAGGCCCATCTGCCTAGACCCCCTCCAGCAGCCTGCATGCGTCCTCAGGAGAGTGGACCAGGCCTGTGATCTGTGGCTCAAGCCTTGCTCCCTATGGGTCCTGCTGGCTGGTCAGAAGCACCCTCAGCATCTCCCACCCCCACCCTGTGCCCTGTGCCCTCCCACCCACTGCTTGGCCGGCCGGATCCCGACCCTAGTCCTCTGCCCCCTCGCCCATGGTTGGACCTTATGCCCCGTCCACCTCAGGCCTATAGCTCCCCAGATGTAGGGCTGTACAGCCCCACAGGGTCGTGGGGTGTCCCTTGCTGTGCTGAAGTGCAGGATTCCAGAAGTAAAGAGACAGGACACTGAAGACCTGGTGAAGAGCGTCTGGACTCGGGGGGCCACGCT